CCGGCATTTACCGTTCTCGTTAGGTAGGATCTGGGTGACATTAGAAACAGCAGAACTGACCCAAAGCAAGGAGTGTAGAAGTCCAGAGCAAACTGCGAAGATGTGAGCTTGGCAGGAACGAGAGAAGGTACAGCTGCAGCCTGGGAACACGATGGCTGGGCAGGGCCCTGTCAGAGCCTGGGCAATCCAGCTCTGCTCTCCGAGGGGACTGACTGCTGCCCAGTAACGGCAGAGAGCCAGGCCAGTTAAGGGAACTCCGCTGTCTGAGACAGCTTCTCCTCACACACCTGCAGAAAGCGAACATCTCTATGGTCAAACAGGGGCGAGCGTGGCACTCGGGCCATAGAGAGCGACTGGCCCGTGCAGGCTGCTTCCCTGCCGCAGGCATCGTGTTTCTGGTGAGAACATGCTAGGAAACAGGCACAGGTATCTGGAACGGGCAGACGTATGAGGCATATAAAGTAACTCTTCACCTCCAGTCATCACTGGTAAGACTCTGACTGGGATTCTGCGTCCTGTTCTGGGCTTTCAGAAAAGGATGTGGACTAATCTGAGCCGAGGTAAAAGCAGACTTGCCGGGTGGAAACGCTTTATACACCTGCCTAAACAGAACTAAACCAGGTCGATGTAACCCACTTGGAATTCTTTCCCCCTTTCCTGCAAATCAGCTGCCTTCCATGCATATAAGGCATTCAGAAGGAGAGCTGTAAGGCTGGGCATCAAGACAAACCTCACTGACATCGCTACACTCAGACAACGGTTCGGAGTGGTGGTTGAGCCCTTATCCACCAACCCTGGGAACCTGTGGATAACTTCAATGGCATCTAAGAAAGGGTAAGAAGATGCAACGTGGTCTAGTAGTCGCCAGCTCCTGCAGAAGGATCTCTGGAAAAGGCCAGTGGGTCTAGAAATGGGGAAATGCCGAGGTACATGAGAACCTGCTGCGGAGCAGGGACAGGCAGGACGGGCTGGTTATTCTGCCTGATGACACCCTCCGTTTATGGGAGTGCTGCCCTTTGGGGCTGTTTGAGGCCAAGGGGCAGGATCTCACCCTGCAGTTCTGAGGGACCTTTTTGTCCTAAAACTGTGAGCACCTGTAGCCTCCTGCCCCACCAAAATTTGGTTTGGAATGCCAGGTTCCATTTACAGGCTGTAAACAGTATCGGTGTGTGACACAACCCAATGTTCGATCCATTATTACCACAGGATCAGAGCAAGCCATCAGCGTTCGTAGGCCGAAACAAGAGCCCCTGGTGGAGCCACGGCAGAAGAGTGTACGCTGTTCCCAAACTGCCTGAGATGAAACACAACCTCCGGAATATTTCTAAGAGGGAGGTAGGTAGTATGGCATTTCTGACTTGCTTGCTGCTCTCACGTTCTCACGCTGAGGAGGCCTGGAGACGTTTGACGAATTTGGCTACGTATTTTGGGCAAGGCAGCCAATTAGTTACCTTGTCCGTATTTAACCCATCAGGGCGAGATCGGCCTTATGAAAGATGCAGTTTAGGGGGAACGTCTCTAGCACTGGGCTTCGCTTCCTGAGCCACGAACCAGGGGGGTTACTCGCCGAACGCAGCTTCCCGATTTTGAACTGTCTTTGTTAATGTCTTTTTCAAGTCCTGCCAGATTGTGGTGAGAACAGGCACAAGCATGAAATTAATTTCTTTTGCTTTTCAGCGCCTGGAAGTGATGCTTTGACTCTGTGAATGAACAAGATGAGCTTTCGGGTTGGTGAAGGTACAAAGGGCCTGCACGAGGTCTACGTCTATCCTTGCCGGCGAGTTCTGAGCAGCAGTCAGGCGGCTGGCGGACAACGAGCCGTGCCACAGCGCGCTACCGTAACAACCTGCGTCTGCAGTAGCGTGCGGCTGCCAGCAGCCTCACGCAGCTGCAGGTCTGGCCTCTGCTCCGAGAGGAGGAAGGAGAAGGCTGGAGATCTACACCAGAACGTTAAAAGGTCCAGCCTTACTGTGAATTACAGTTTGGAACTGGAAGGTGAAACTACAAAATATGGATAGAGAGATCTGCATCACTCAGGGCAATCACGCCATGGGGTTTTTTGTGGGAATTTTCAACTACTACATCATCTGATTTACTTAAAATAGTAACGTTAGAATTTCTCTGGGGACACCAAACCATAGCTCCAAAATATATGCAAAATTTAAAAAAAGAAACCGACCCAAGGACCCAGAAAACTGCTTAAGTTGCTGGTGTGGAGCTTTGGCCTTTATTGTACCGGGTGCTTTAAAAAAGAACCCCAAAACAAAAACCACCCCACTCCTCTAAAAAAACAGTCTGAGTCTCTGAATTAAGACAAGATGTAACACAAGAGAACATAAAACACAAGGCAAGAGGGGGCTATCACAGACCCTTCTATTTTCTTGCGGCCCGTGTAATTCCGGAGTGGGTACCCACAAGTTAACAAGGTGAAACAAACGGCCTTTGAAGGTTACTTAAGGGAACGCAAGCAGCAGATGAAGATCACGTACCTGTAACGAGTAGACTCTGTTAGTGTGCCCTTGCAGCGTGTGCAGACAGGTCTCCGTCTCTGGATCCCACACTTTGACCATAAAATCGTACGCACCACTTACGACCCTTCTGCCGTCATACTGAACGCACCGAACTGCAGCTACGTGGCCCATCAGGACGTGTAAACACTGGCCCGTCTCTATGTCCCAAACCCTCAGCGTAGCGTCTCGAGAACCACTGACCACCCTGGAGGAAGAAGAAAACCCCTCCAGCACTCAGCATCGGACACAGAAGTATCGAAACAACGGGGTACAAAGCTGTTAACGAGTTCTGACCTGGGACACCAGACAGCATGAGCCCGCCAGCCACCAAGGACCTGGCGTGGCATGATGCTCTAGGAGGGTCGCAAATGACTCAAGGGTTTTTCTCCCTTGCCCTACTCACCTCCTCTGGATCCTCCGGCTTGGTGTAATTAGCAATCAGTATTTAAAAAGGCACTTCGCTCCTGAACAGCAAAACGCTGCCGTGAGAAACTCCACGGCCTGTTGTATTTATCTGAGAAAGCTGAGCTCCAGCCAGCGCTGTGAGCATTCTGCTTTAATGACCGAGTTAACTAATTATAACAATTAAACAAAGAAGGTCTTTAGAAGTTTTAGTAAAGCAACAGTTATTCTGCTTGACTTTGTTCCGTTTATACTTTTAAAAGTGTCTGTAGGCAACAACAGAAAGGAGAAGGAATTAATATTAATGGAACTGATAAGGAAAAGCCTCATTGTCCTTCAGAAAATAAGAAATGGAACCAAGGGGCACTCCATCAGGAGCTCCCCGCCACAGTCAAGCAGGAGAGCTTTGCCAGCGTCTGCTGAATCCAGACCTGGTTTACGACTGTAGAAATCAGGATGCAACCGGTTAAAACCGTGATAAAACTCTGCAGTGCCAACGCTTAAAAGGTCGTTTGGTAAAACGAGGGAAAGCGTGCAGCACTGACAAAAGGAGAAATTATTCCGAGGGTGGGAGGCCGAATCACGGCGTCACAACGATTTTGTTCCGAAACAACGTGCAACAGGACTTGCTAAAGCACGTGACTCGGCTTTCTGTTCATCAGTTGCTGCTCTACGCTTTTGCTTCTGTTCATCATCTCCTCCCATTCGCTGACTGGCGCAGTTCAGTGTGAGTCCTTCACCCGGCCGGTACCCTGCTTGGGGCTGGGTGAGGCGCACACGAGCGCGGGTGACGCCTCACCTTTTCTCGTGGAGGTGCATGCACCGCACAGTGGAGGTGTGTCCGTACAGGGTGTGTATGCATTCTCCGGTCTCGGCGTTCCACACTTTGAGCGTTCGGTCTGTAGAGCCACTGATGATGATATTGTCCCTCATCTGTGACGACCAGACTCCGCCCGTGTGCCCCACCAGGGTTCTCAAACACTGAAAAGAAACGTTTTGCTTGGTCACCCTTGGGACAGAGCTGAGTGGACGCTTAGAAAAAGGGATGTAGGAGGCAGCAGCAGTCGCTCGTAGCAAGAGCCAGAAGACCCTGAAGACGGCTCTGCGATTGAATTAAAACATCCCACCTCTTAGGAAACGCTCATCAAATTTCTCTCTCTGCTGTCGGTACTTTGACCGTAAGGAATTTTCCTTATAATCTTCCCCTTGATAAACTAAACTGCCTTCTCAGATCTGTCAATATGGGCCGTGTTTTGCAGCCTGGACTCGTTTTCCTGAGTCACTGCAGTTTTTCCAACAGCTTTTTGAAGGGTAAGAGTTAGAACCAATCTATAAACCACGTACTCTTTCATTCTTCTGCCTCTTTATCCAAGAAACACCACATTCTGTAAGCCGTTGCCACAGCCTCAGTACTGCAAAATCCTGTTTCAAACCTTTTTCTGACTTCACTGTTGCCCGGGAGAGAATCCCACACTCCCACGAGCACAGCCTACCTTCTTTGATCCTAGGCGCGCGACGTGGTTTCTCGCCACACGGAGACAGGCTTGGCTCACACCTACATCTAGAAAAGCGCCGTCACCCTGGAACAGCAACTCGGCCCCGTTTCCTTACGGGGAAGGACCGTGTATGCTTCCTCCCCAGGCAGCACTCATGAGCACAGGCAAGAAGAGAGCCCTGCAAGACCCCTCTGGAAAGAGACTCCACGGAGGTTCTGCGTTTACATGAACCCTGCGGTCGCTGTAACCACCCACTTTCTAACCCGTTTAGATGTGTGCCGTGCTGGTTTTTGCACCACTCTGTCTTATCCGAGCATGTCACAGGGAGACAGCCATGCAGTGCCCAGGGCCATCTATTTCTGCACTATCATCTTTGTCGGTCGAACCTGCAGCTGCACCAGAAAAGAGGTGGAGACGGTTTGATGATCTCTCTCTGTAATCTAATGCGAAGTGGCATTAATTTCCCTGGCCTTCCTTGAACTGTCAGTTGACTCCTCTTGATGCGCTCCACTATTTTTTATCTGAAACCGTGTATCCCAAATACCCAGCCTTCCAGTGTACCCCATTTGGACACTGACACATTCCTACGTTCTGGCCATCCTTTGGATTTTCTCCTGGTGTTCCTCCTACCTTTTGAAAAAAACACTGATTTTACCCCACAGGTTACCTTAGGGGAAAAACCCCATCAAAGAGCGATTATTTGGACCAACCGTGGTAAGAAAAGCCGTAACTTCGGTAGTTGTGGTTTGACTTGTTGTGAGCTTCTGCTGTCACCATCGCATGTATTTCCTTCCCAAATGAGTATGTTGTCAGCATCAGCATCCTCATTTCTGTGGTTAACATCCTGTTCTTTGTAACCGCCTTGCTTTCTGCTGTTCTTTAACATTTTTTACCAGTCTCCTGCAACTCCTGGCTCCTAGCTTAATTCACTGCTATCAAACCCATCTTTCTCAGCTCAGAGCTGTTATTCAATTCTACAGTTCCCCCCCACCCTTTTTTTTTTTTTCTTATTTCAACCAATTTACTCCTATTTTAAGGAATCATCCTTCTAGAGCAGTAAGAACACAGAATCCTTACTCTGGGCTTTACGACTGTCAGGGGGATTACTTAGTCATATTCATTTGCACAGACCAACCTTCAGGGTTTTTTATGTTATTAATTGTTCAGCTCCAGTAAGCAGGAGGGCTGGTACAGCGCTCT